TCACTTCCTCTTTCAATTTTTTTAAATGACACAGTGTAAGCTGTGATTGTCACAATTTTTATGTCCATGTTAAGTCGAATCGTCCTAAGTCCAGCCATTGAAATGAATATATAACTATTACCTCTCAAATTAGATGTAGGTAACAAGGGAGGCTATAAAAGCCAAGAAAAAGTCCTCAGAATAGCTCCTCATGAAAAGAAAGTTTAAAATTGTATACAATATAGTTTATGTGGGCCATTTCATATATATTTCAATATGTTGGTGAGTAACTATTAAATGCCATCAGGTCCACTGCACAGCTAAAGCACTGAGAATCAGCCATGTAATTAGCCCACCTGCCCTTCTTCCTTCCCTCCTTTTCTCTGCTAACAAGATGGAGTGTTTTGAATCAAATACCATAAACTTCTTTGTAACAACACTGGCTCCTGTGTGAAGCAGGAACACAGGCAGCCTCCAACTTACGAAAGTGCTATTTATTCCAAAAGCTCTTTGAATTCATAAATTGAAATCCTTATTATAGATTCCCATGGAAACGACACTGTGAGGCAAGGTAAACTTCTTAAACCACTACACAAAGGACTCATCTATAACAATAAAAGCATAATATGCTAATTTGCCTAGACATCTTTCTGGACAACCTTTCTGATGAAGCAGGAGGGAAGCCGGGTCCTGGGTGCAAGAGGGAAGCCATTGCTGGCAGCCGAGGGAAAGAAAGTCTACTCTTGCATGACTTTTGTGCATCGGGCCTCTAGTTAATTCTGTAATATACTTGCTTCATAGTATTGTACCAAATATAGTCAGGCATTGCCCCTGATGTACCGAGGGAAGTGTGTTTTTTTAGTTCCAACTGTCGTGTCAGGAGTATCTCTTCTGCTGCACGCTGTTTTAGTGATAGCACTCCTTTCACTCCTGAGCAGTGAAGACAGAGGAAGAAAGTAGCTATTCCTTTCCTGAGGTCTCCATGATGGACCTTTTGTGCTACATTTTCTGTTGAACCTTCTCCTGATTCTGGCCAGCAGTTCTCTTCATCCAGCTGACGGCTGTACAAATCCACAGCCTCAATGATTCCTCCACATTCCCATCCTCAAAGCCTGCCTAGGCCATTGAGGTTTTCTAAAGGCTTTCACTTGCTGACACCAAAAGAAAAATAAAATAAAGCAAAGCTCCATCCTGTGCTACCGTGGGAACCAGACTCTGCCACGCTGGCATTTCGTCTCCAAAATAATGGCTGGCTTATGTCTTGAAACGTAATGTGAAGGGCTAGAAAGGCAAAGATAGAAGCTGGCCAGCCCGGTGTAGGAAAGAAGGAAATAGAATCCTATTCTGCATCCTTTCTGCCTGGCTAGTACCTCCACCAGTGTTGCTATATGTACTCTACCGTGGGTGGCATGGGTCTGGGAGGGAGGCCACCTGCCTTTGTGGCATTTTTTGTTGGAGGAGAGGAAGAGGCCAGGAAAATGAAGGCAACTAGCAGAGAAAGGAGGAAACCTAAGAAGAGAAGGAAAACCCAAGAGGGGACCAACTTCTTTCGGCTGTTTTTAACATGTAAAATATACCACATACGTTGACTACCGCTTGTACATTTAGATGAACTTTCTTATATAGCTAAACTTAAACACTGATTATACAAAAAGGAGCGATGTGGGATAGTATACTCACATTGTTAATTTACTCACTGTTCACGATTGCATTTTTCACTCCCTTTGTATTGAAATAAGCACATTTGTTTTCTTACTCTTTTCTCTTTTCTATATATGTAATTAAGATTATGTCCAAAGAACGCTGACATGATAAATTAAAGAACTGCCCTTGCATTCTTATAGGCTGGGGGCGAAAGGAAACATTTTTATGGAGATGCTCTTTGGAAGTAATTTAAAAGCATAGAATTTAACAGTCTGCAGCTTCCCCTCATGTCAGCACACCGCCATCATTCACAACATGATGGATGTGCCTAATTCCCATCTTTGTGAAGGAAGAATGTCTTATCTGAGAGAAAAGTAAACTTAAGGTATCTTTTTCCTGGTTTTGTATTCACTTTTTTTCTTCTTCACAATTAAAAGAAAAGAGTGTGATCTTTTAAGTACCGTTGTTTATTAAGAGACTCACTTCTTGCACACAGCAGCATTAGGTGAGCAGAATTAAGAAGCCAGGGTTTTCTGCAAACCTGAGCTTTTCCTCACAGGTAAGGCCGGATGGACTGCTTTCTACGTTACACTAGGTTATCTTTACATCGCGGCATGCCAATTTCATCATCTCTCTGTGTTGCTGCAAAAATAAAAACAAAACAAAATAGTATTTGATTGCACAAGGATACACAGAGAAAACAAAAGTTGAAGTGATCAGGAAAACGATTCTTTTAAAATAGCTATTCTTTGTTTAGTCCAAGAGCCAAATAGAGAAGAAAGAGAAAAGGAAAAATACTTGGAGAATGATTATAAACACCAAGAGCTACCACCATTTATCACTGCTTCCAAATTCTGAAATAATATGGGATCATCTTTAGGTTAACAGACAAATGAACTCCTTACTAGGAGCTCATTTGGATAACCAGCAAATGGATATTAAAGGCATAGAATAGAAAGAACCTGGTAAAGATAAGAAAGTGTTTTTGCTGTTGTTTGTTTGTTTTGTTTTTTGTTTTTATCCTATGACAGAATCTGAAAATATATGGAGACTTAGGGGAAGCATGTCCCAAGCCAGTTTTACTTTTTTATTTATTTTTTATTAGAAGTTAATATGTTATCCTTCCTTTTACTCTAGTACTTTGATTTTTTTTTTTAATTCAAGTCTTCTGATATAGAACATTTTTCTGAACTTGGTCAAGTCAGGATTTACTAAAACACTGGCCATGACTTGGATTTGCATAGAAAGAGCTTCATTAGTCAGCCTCTGTTTTCCTTGTGAAAAAGATCTCAGAAAAATTCTTGAATGTGGGGTGGGGTTAGCTGCATCAGCAGTGGTCCTGGGCCTTACTTAACAGTGAAATGAATTTACTTTCTGGGAGCAAATTAGTGACCTTTATTTTATTAGCAGAACTTCCTTCCCTGTTATCCTATTTAGCACATCTTACAAATTGGTGTCAAGCCTGGGCCTGCTTTGTTTATTTATTTTATTTTTATATTAGATTTTCATGCAGCACTTAACCAAAATCTCTTTCTGGGATTGTACTACTCACCACCATACTTGCCAACTTTTTGTTTACAGAAATTATAAATAGTGCTGTAGTAATTGATAGACCTTCCCAGTGCTTAACTCTCTTAAGCTCCCTGGTTTTGTTATTATTATCCATATTAAATAGTCTTATTAAAATAACCACCTTAATGCAGCATAGAATTTCAAGGGCAGTTAGTATAAAATCAAACTGGATTTTAAATTTTGAAAGAATCCAGATCTTTGTATGATTTCCCATTAAAATCAATAAAATAATATTTTAATATTTGTGTTCGTGTCACATCTGTGTTGCCATTGAAAAGTAACATACTCAGCGGGCTCTGTGGCACAATGGATAGCGCACTAGAAAGTGACGAAAAGTAACATACTCAGTCTAATTTCTTATTTGGTAGATTGGAAACCAAACCCACCCAGTACGGCAATCATTTTTAAATGTCTTTTAAAAATCAACTATGACAAAGCACATATTTTGTATAGATGTTATTGTCCACATTTCTCTACTTAGCTATTTCTAATATATATTAAGACCATATGAGTAATGTGCCTCTGTTTATATTTCAGTTTCCAGCTACACAATTTAAAAAAAAAAGATGATTTTTAAATCATTAATAACTTTAATCATTAAAATGTTATTTGTTGAAACATAAAATGAGTTTTATTTTTAGTTGTATTTCTCTTATTTTTACACTTGCTATTATTCTTTATAAAACACTTTTAATCAAATGAGCACTTTAAAAAAAGGTATAGCTAATAAAATGAAATTTAAGAATGAGACTAGGAATTTCAACATAGTTATACTTTATTATTGGAAAAAAAAATTTGATTGCTATTGAAAACTTTTTCTATCTCTAGTCGCATAAAACAGTTTTCCCTTACATTTCCTACTTGGATACCAAAGCCTGTGTCTCAAATAGTTCATAAATTCTCTGGTGCATACTAATAATAGTTTAAATCCTATTCACTTATATTGATTAATTGTAGAAATACATACAAATTTGATTATTCATAGGTGGAAATTTATTTAAATAAATATATGAAATATGTAAATATTATATAGATATATAGAAATATAAGGAAAAGTTTATCAAATATTATCTTTATTTTAACTCTGTTCATATTCACACCCTAAACAGAAATACAAAGTAAATAAATCTTGATAAACTTTGCCTAATGGACATTGCCAAACGGACTTCTCTTGCAATGATTACTTTTTCCACTTAACATTTAAAAGTTAGCATTTTCATAGTAACAATAAAATATCATCATTTGCCATAAAACATGAACACGATAAATAAGTCAAATAAATTGTAGGGTTTTGTTGCATATGTATGCTCTGTTTCTTTAAGGAGAAAACTTGAAGTATTAGAAATACTTAAAGGCCATGATAGAAAATTGATTAAATATTTAGTAGAACTGGAATATCTCTAAATGAGACTTCATGTTTGTTTATTTTCATCAAAGTCCAAATCAGAATTTAGAAGTGGAATCTTTAAGAATGGTATAAAAAAAAGCTTTAAAGGTTATTGCCCAGAAAAACCGTGCCAGCAACATGTAAGAATGTTTGCTTTACCCAGGCAGTGTAAGACTTTAAAACTCCATGTTCAGGAAGTACCAGTAATACTGAAATCTGGTCATAGTGTTTAAATGCTGCCAGGGGGAGAGAACCCGCTTCCCATGGCTTTGTTTTCCCCTTTGGATGGTAGCCACGGAGCACTGCATGTTGTGTTGGTGCCTTGCATGAGGAAGACATGCAAAGGCAAGTTCCAGTCTGCATGCTGCTTAATGAATGTTTTTTCCTTTTTTTCTCCTTCCTTGTCATGTGCTTTCAGAAGACAACAATGTGGAAGGTGGGTGCTTTTTACTCTTTTTTTTCAACTCTCATTTGCCTTTTATTTCTTAGCATTAACAGAGTCCATCTCGAATGTCGACGGTAAGTGGAACATCTTTTTGAGCATTTGTGGATGTGTGGATTGTGCATCACTTTTCATACAGAACACTCAGAACTGTACCCCAGGCACCCGCCTGCATATGTGAAACTCCTTCACCTTTAATGCCAGTCCTTGATGGATATCAGCACCCCATGTTAGAATACTTCTTTGCAGTGTTCTGTATGGAAAAATAATACAATCCCATTTTTAAACTATTAAATGAGAAATTATTTATTTGTAGTTTCAGAACATAGTGCATGATCCTTTCTCCATTTTTTTTTCTTCTTGATCAAAATTATTTTTCTTTTCTTTTGGAATTGTTTGGCATCACATCATCTCAAGCCCATTGCTTTAGTTTAAATGCTTTGATTTATAAAAACACAGAATAAAGTACAGACTATAAGAGACATATATTTAAATTAAAAAATAAGCCTTTGGCCAGTGGAAATGAAAGCATATAGCACCCCTCCATGATTAATGGGTAAGTATGTTTGTAACAGTCTGTTTCTATTAAGTAAAACTACAAGATTTATTCAAGTTTTTTAAAAAATTATTTCTCAAGACGTTTTTACAAAGGTATATATATTTTTCTATAGAACCCAAGAAATTCAACATATTTCAACATTCTACTTTTAAAGAACTTAAATGCATTTGTCAGTGTGCTGTCAAACAAATCTCTTCACTATAAAAATGCAAAAAAAACTAGGTAGAACTTAGAATTTTAGAAAGGAAGACGGAGTTCTATCAAATTATATAATTATAGTATTAAAAGTTTTTGCATAAGCAGTTTACCACTATACGTCAGAGGCAAACATTTAGCATATTTCATTTTGCTGCAATATTTTGAAATAAAACCATTTTGTAAAAATAATAAACATTTGTTTTAGAACAAAAGTCCTCATCAAATATTATAGATAAAGAATAAAGTTACTAAGATTTGATGTTTCATATAAAGAACAATTCACAGTAATATGAAATTGATCAATAGCAAGATACAGCATATTGTTGTGATTTATTCATGTAGAGTACAGTTGCTTAGTTGCTGAACATGTCTGTTTTATTGTTTAAGTAAGAGATTAAAACTTCAAAAGAAATCCTCCATCGTTATTTCCCCAAGTGTTGGCTTATATAAGGCTTCTGTTTTTCTCTACTATAGTTGCAATAGAATGTGAGCATGCACCTGATAAAAATGATATTACCATGTAGACCTGACCCATCAATATAAATGACGGTCTCATTTATATTGTGCATGTTAATTAAGATTGAAAGCTTTTCTCAGTAATTTTTTAAACTTCTTTTGCATTTCCTTCATCATCCTGTAAAGTTTTACGTTTTCGTCCTTTTCTCCCTAAATCCAATTGCATTCCAGCTGAATAAGCATGAATGCCTCTCTCCTTACAATCATCCCATGAAAATTTTTGACAAAAATTTCAGAGTGTAGGTCCATAACTATTGTAATAAGTTTATTTAATCATACTTTTAATATACCTATTTATAAAATTAACTTTGGTAAATAGTGGAGTTCCCTTAGAAGTAGCAAATCTAGCATGAGGAATGTGAATGCATTAGAAATCTATTAATTAAAAACCATTAGAGCTGGCTAATATATTTTGTAAAAGTTAGATCTGATAAGGGATAATTCTCTGATTTAGTCTACCCAATGTTATAAGCTGTTATTAGTAAATATGTATAGTAGTTTTAAAACTGAAATTAAATGAAACGATTACATCACTTAAACAGATAAGCCACTATTTCTAGGCATATGAAATAATCAGGAATCACCAACTGATCATAAACTTTTTAATCTGTCTATGTGATTATATTTTCTTGTTAAAATCACTTAGAAAATGCAAAAAGAGGCTGGATTACAGAAATTTTACTATGTTTAGTAATTTTCATGTAATTATATGATTATTTTAATTGTATATGCTCCAACGAATGTTTAATATCCACAAAATTTAAGGAAATAACACTGATTTTAATAATGATGTAAGTAATGCATAATGTGATATATTTCAAGTAAAGTCTCAAATATATTTGAAATAACACAAGGAAAGGAAATATAAATTTTAGAGAAATTGTATGCATGCTCTACTTCTATAACATTTCCCCATGTTTTTTTTTAATATATATGGATTGGAGAGTAGCTTTACTCTTGAATTTAGAATAAAAACTAGGAATTAAGCCTAGATAATTAAAAAATATCTTCTTGGGTAGTAAATATATATTTTAAAAGAATATTAGTAGTGTTCTTTATCTAAAGTTAATTGTCAAGTAATAGGTAATAAATAATTTCCATAATTTAAAAAGGAATTCAATATTCTTTCAGAAAACATCCTTAATGAAGTTGTTTCTTATATGCATCTGTATATCACTTACATTAACTCATAGTTTAGTATTTAAGTTGTGTTTACGTAAAATGATAGATAATTTTGTTCTCCATGGAAAGCTAAATGAGCCTATCTAAAGCTGCTGCATGGTTTCTTAATAGTAAATTCTAACTTTACAGTTGCATGCTTGGTGATCTTTGTGTATGAACAAGCTTAGTTAGTTGCCACATGTGTCAGACAAGGAGACATTTCTTCATTATCATTTCAGTGTGACTAAGATTTTATTTTTTATTTTTGTTTAATTATGAAAGTTTTCATTTTCTGATGAGGGGAAAAAGATCAGACCCAGCCCATATTTTAGGTATTCCTTTGGGTTTTTACAACTATAATTGCATCACAGAAGACCGACAAGCCCTGTGGAGGCTGTGTTCAAAACAGACTCCTCACGGGGCGTGAAGGGCAGATGCACTATCTAAGGGATTGGCTGGATTTTAAGCAATGCTCTTCTTTCTGCTCTTCATTGTTCCAACCAATGCATAGAAGAAATACACAGTGCAGCATATGCCAGTGTTTAAACTACAGTTCTGTAACTCTTTGCCCCAAAGCATTCCAACCAGGGGTTGAAAGAATGCTTTTTGATTTGCTTCTGTGATACAGACATGCCTCGTAGGAAACAAGATGTCTGTCACTGAACATTTTTGTCACCCTGACAACCTTGCCTCCCCGTGCTCCCTTGTTTATTGCTGACTGTGCTCTTGTTTCCCTTCAAGGTCTGGCGCACCTGATGATGGGCGACCAAGGTATGGGCTCTGTTCCTTTTCCACTCTGCTTTCAGTGTCTTCTTGTTTCGTAGCTGCTTTCACACCACCACTGCAAAGGATGGGGAAATGCTTGCAAAGTATCTGGCTGCCAATGAAACACATATTTTTGTTCACATTTCTTTTTTTTCCATGTGTTATTCTCTTTATGTGTCGGTTTGATTTTTTGGTTTGCTCCTTTGACCTTTTTTTGTTTTTGGTTTTGTTCATTCTTTGCACTGTAATATCTGAAAATAAATGAGACGTATGGATGGACTTGTGATTGAGAACTTCTGTACATTTATCAGCATCTGCAATTTTAAGGGTAGTTATAGTAAAGAAAAACCAAGAATCGTCACCAATTATTTGAAGGAGGATATCCAGTTTAACCTCGTGTACCAAAAAGAGTCCATTTTTCACCCATGCATGGCAGTTTGGGAACATGCAGACATCTTTGGCTTCTGGCTTCTAGAATGCTGAGTCTAGTGCTCCACAGAATCAATACTTCTTTCACCTGCAGTCATTATGTATCTCCTCTTTGTGTAATATTTTAAAGCGAGCATGGGCTTTCCAATTTCCTTGCATGCACTGCCTTTTTAAAACAAGGCAGGATTGTCAACATTTACTGATTGTATTTCATTTGTTTACAAGCCCTTATTTATGCTTTCTTGATTAATTTTCAAAGGGTAGTGCATTTGCATATATTCATAATTCTTATTGTTGTTTCTCTCCTCTTTATTCTCTTTGTATGGAAACCCTTTCTTCATGGAACCATTTCATCAAATCAATAGGTAAAAGTAAAGGTATTACCCTCTTTTATTTCTATTTAATATCACCTATATGAATTACGGTGTGTCTAAATAATGCAAATGTGTTTGCACCTTTTGGTATTAGTAATGGGCACTGGGAGGTAGGTATGAGGGTTAATGAATATTTTATGAACTTAAGGTAAGAAAAAAAACATCCATCCAAATGTTCACTCTTTGTTTTTCTTGCTCGTTAGTGTGAATTCTTTTTGTCAGCTGCTTATGTAATTAGTGTATTTTAAAATTAGCTGCCGGTTTCAGTGTCAGTTTTTGCAGAGTCATTCAATGGCAATTAAATGCTGTGTGTAGTTACCACAAATAGATCATCGTCAAACTTTTACCTCTGGAGCACACCTACCCCTGCCATTCTGCCTTGGGATGTAAGTCTGAGCATGCGCAGCATTGGAATGGTCCTGCTCATCGCCATGCTGTCTGCTAGAGGTCATATGTGCACATTAATTTCATGATATCCTGGAGAAAGCAGTATTCTGAAAGAAAGAGAGAAACACAGGAGCAAGATAAGCCCGTTCTTTTTGTGTGCATACTAACCCCGTTTAAGAACGTTAGCAACCAGGTTCACATCCTTGCATCACTTGGTAAGTCAGGCATGTGTACGCGTTGACAGATTGGTGCCAAGTTGAAAAGCATGTGTAATTCACCATTTAGACCCACCCGCATTGTGTGTAGTGTTTTCGTTGAAAGGCGGTACATGGTAGGCACCTGTGACAAATACGTATCATCCCCTTTAAACTAAATATTTTAAACAGTGTATAAGCGAATGCACTCTTGGTCTCCAGTTTTGTGATTTTTTTGTTTTTGTTTTTTTGTTTTGTTTATTTGCCTTTGTGTATGTTTTTTCCTTGGTTATTTTAAACACAGGAATGTATCTTATCCTTGAGTTCTCTGTATCTTTCTTATGCTGAGAATCTTAATCCGGTGAATTGGGACCAAAGCCCACAGCTCTGCAGCTTCACGTTTATGTCATCTCGCAGGGAGACTTTTCTGCTTAAACAGGCACCTGAGCATGAACTGAGCCATGATGAGGAAATGGTGTCCATGTTTTAAATGTGTAACGTAGAGCTTTAGAAACAAATGTTGTTTGGATACTTTGAATTTATAAAAAAAACAAACATATGCTTATTGCAGTTTGTGTTTCGGTCAACCATTTTTTAAATAATATAATTTAATCTCTTTTTAAGCCTTCAACAACATGCAAATGACAGTATGTATTGATTCTTTTAGTATGCCATTGGTATTTTGTGTACCATTCGGGGTGCTTTTTAAACTTGTTTTATGGACAACTTGCCACTCACTTTTCTCCCTTAAGTGGGCATTTCCCACCTATTTCTTAGTGTAAGATTCAGAATGGCATAGAGTGAAACGTATTTATATTTTATTTTACTGGCTTAGTGAAGTATATCTTTGTGTGTTTGTGTATATGTTCCTGTGCATATTGGTATGAATGCATATACATATACAAACTTTCAAAATATGCACACATGTATTCATTATGATGTGAAAAAAGTAACTCTTAAAAAAATAATTCTCTAATTATATAATCATTTAACACTACATAAGGAATAATTCGTGTTTATATTAAGGTGATATTTGTTTTGGTGTAATTAATGTTAAGTGTCACTTCATTCTGTTTTACTATGCCAGACCTAAATGTTTTCTGTTGTTATATGTGTCAAGCATATTTTTTGCTCAAGTTTTCATCAAATTGTATTCCTCAATCTGCACAAAACTACAGAGGGCAGGACTTTTTTTTTTCCTTTACATACTTCTGTTAATGGGACCAGGATGCTTTTTGATATTAAATGGGAGAAAAAAGATGGAATTGAGTATTTTGCAAATAAGCCCTGTCCCTTTGCATGTTGTTTAATTCAATTTCTAGAAATGATGAATGTGATTTGTAAGTTTTCTTTAATTGCAAATTAATACAACAAATCTGTATACTAGATCAAAAATCCAACCTTGATGATGCTGTGCATCCACATCCAAGGAGTGTCATTATAATAGGAAAATGAAAACGTGAGCAAGGTAGTCACATGACAGAATGGAAGTGCTGTGAGGGTGGAAAAAGGCAGTTAAAAATCTAATATGAGTCGAAGTTGTCATAGGTTGATGTCATTGCCTGTGCCTCCTGTTGGGGAAGTCACAAATTGTCTAGCAAGTGTACAATGTAGCTTCTTCTATTAGGTTAAATCCTTGTTGTACATAAAATGTTCTGTCTAAAATAATAGATATGCAGTGTACATTCATGCCTCCAAATCTTTCTGTCACAATATAATCTTGGAGAATTTTTCTAGACACTATTTGTCTCTTTGGAAGTAGTGATTTCAGGGTCTTTGGAATTATTATCTCTGGATTAATGTCTTCTCCCCCATGCCCCCAAATTAATCCAAAAAGAAAATTGGATTCAGGAACATTACTATTATTATTTTTATTTCTTCTGTATAGATTCTTAAATATTTTCTAAAAAGTTAAATGCCCAGTGATAAATGAATGCATTTAATTAAAAAAAAAAGGAAACAAAGTTAACTCATCTAAAAAGAACATTTCCTTCTGATAACTTTCTTCATCTTCCTCCCAGTCTTCTCTGTAGAGGTAAACACTGGTATCAGTGTGATGTATCCTTATAGAGTTGGTATGGATCCTTCTGTACTCCCTAATTAATTTTTTAGGGTTTGGAAACTGAAAAATCCCTTATCATTTATACATCACAAAAACAGCTAGGTCATCTGAAGACACTGTTAATGTGCTCACAGAATCAAAATGAATGAAATGAAGCTTTCTCCTTTTTCCCATGGGCCATTGTGTCTCATATTTTTATTTATTTTTATTTTTTTGTTAATCCTCACCCAAGAATATTTTCCCATTGATGTTTAGGGAGAGTGGAAGAGAGAGGGAAAGACAGAGAGAAACACTGATGTGAAAGAAACACATGGATTGGTTGCCTCCTGGATGAGCCCTAACTGGGGCCTGAGCCCAGAGAGGAGCCTGTAACGAAGGTAAGCAACCTTGACCCATGACCCTTTGGTCAGCAGGCTGATGCTCTATCCACTGAGCCAAACTGGCAAAGGGTGACTCATCTTTTTAATTGGTCATTCTGTTTTAAACTCTGGAGTCAGTTATTTAGAATAAGTTTCATGTTTTATAAACAAGGATATGTTACCTTTAACTAGATACAGTTAGGAATAAACATTCTTTCAATGATTTATAGCTTTTTCAGGTATAGCTGATGAGATATTCTCTAGAACAAACCTGCTTGTGGCTAGATGGATCCAAATGGTCACTGTAAAGTTGCGGGTGCTTTCTTTTTAGGTCAGAAATTTGTCATTGGTATTGTTGGAACCATTGATATGGCTAATAACTTTATTCTCCATTTTATTTTACATATAGGCTTATCTATTTATTTACCTGGGAATTTACTTTTTTTGTTTTGTGTTGTTTTTCCATGTATGTTTAACTGGTTATTTCATTCCAACAATTATTAAATATATTAAATTACATTTTACTTCAATGGTTGCATGAAAGTAATGAGTGAACATTTATATGAGAAAATGTTAAAGTAAACTCGCACTGCAGATCCAGCCAGCATGGCTAGTTCATAGCTCAAGAGCTCAGATCAATAATTTCCAGATAAGTGTTGACGTTTTGACTGGAGGCCTGATTTTTTTCTTCATAGTCATCATCATAATTGTAATTACATATTTATAGGAGAGATTATACATTTAATGCCAACTGTTCCCAATAGAATGTAAGCTCCATGAGGGCAGGAAGGTTGTCTTTCTTTTTGGCCACTGTGCTTCCAGAGCACTTTTCTATCTTGACAATATCTTGATAACTATCTTGACAATGTCATTTTCATGACTTAAGTATGTGATTGGGTGGGGAGCATGTTGGAAAAGGAATATGTAAAGAAGGATATGGAGGATTTGGTGTGGGCAAAGTTGAGGGTAGAAATGGGAAATAAACTTACTCAAATAGCTAGAAAGGATTATAGCAACAGATTGCATGAAATCCTCTCAGCCTCTGTCTCTAAAGTTTCTTTTGCTTCCTATCATTCATATCCTTTTGCAAAGTTGCAATGTATCTTTTCAGTAAGGCACCAATCTGTGCTCAATTTAATATGCCTTAGCATATGCATAGCAATGAGTCTGGAAGGAACGGAAATCAATCAATTTTTGTGTT